TTTTTTTTTTTTTTTTTTTTTTTTGTACCAGGGACAGAACGCCGAGCCTTACTCTTAAGAGTACGATGTGAGAAGCTGTTTATTTGCAAGCCTGCCTTCCCTCCCACCAATCTGTCCTAGGGGAGGCTTTGGTTTTCCATGACAAGTTGGAACTCTCAATTTTCCTTTTTTTCAAACTCTATACCCTCTGTTTCAAAAGCCAAAAGCCAACCTTGCTTACTGAAAAAGCAAAGGTGAAGACTGCATGCTCAATTCTCCAGGTCCTTTCATATCTGTATCTGTTCTTACTGTTTTTCATTTCTTGCCTCAGAAAGAGACATCTTCTTCTGGAGGAAACACTCTTCGTTTACTCTTAGAACTGTGACTCCAGCCCTCTACACTGTTCCTACATCAATTGCGTATGTTCTTTCACTTTCAAATTCCCAGAGGCTATTCACATGCTTAGATCCTTCCTAACCTTACAGAGGAAGAGAGGAGAGAAATTTCCCTCCAGTGGACACTTCCCTTTTATTAGGGTCACATTTCTTAAAGAAAAACTGTTTACTGTCCAGACCTGCAGGCTTTCTAACCTCATCTCCTGCTCTTTTAAGGGTCCCAAACAATACTGGCCCAATTCTATAGCATCCGAAATTTCTTATTACAACTCTAGAGCTTTTTTGTTCTTTTGTTGGTATGGGGCCGCGGCTCAAATCGGGTCCTTGTGCTTGCAAGGTAGGGACGGAACCACTGAGCTAAATCCCGGCTCTTATTCCAACTCACTTGGCGTTCACTAATTGACGAATCGTTGTCGCTGATCCACTTCTGTCCTGTGCAGGGACATCCTATATTACTTTTGGCCCTCTTTCTTCTCATTCATAAGTGAATCCTAGCGATTTTCCAAATTTTTAAATTTTGTCCTTCCTTTTATTGCCTTAGTGAAGCCAAAGATTCTTTCCAAACAGTAGAATTGTACCCTTCTTTCCTTCCTTTTTAAATCTTTTTAATTTCTTAGTTGAAATAATCTTCAGACTTACAAAACATCAAGAAATTTTACTTAACCTATTAGAGAGTAAGTAGTCTTACCACCCTTGAGTACTCGTGTGTGATTCCTCGCAAAAATATTCTCTGGGCGCTAGTTATCTCCTGCTGCATTACACACTGGCCCCTAACCCTGAGCTTAAAACCACAAGTGTTTGAAACAAACCCGTCGCGGTGTCTGAGGGCAGGCTCCAGACGCAGCTCAGCTCTCTGAGTCGGCTCAGAAACCTACTGAGGCTGCGCTTGCACTCAGAGCCAGGCCTTAGGCACAGGCCGGAGGATGTGTCTCCAAGATACCCGGACGGACGTTCCTCGGCCCCTCACCTCGAGCGCTTCTCCTCCCAGCATGGGAGCCAACTTGCCCCAGCGGAAGGGATCCGACAGGTAGGCAGGACTTTGCAGTGCTGGCCGTGATCCTCTGAAGGCACCACCACTTCTCACGTTGGAAGTGGGTCCAACCCCTTCCCACACTCCAGGGAGGTGAGTAGAGGCTACATTTCTTGATGTGAAAACAATCTCTGAATTCGTGGTTATGTCTTTACAACCACCATTAATCCTACAGAAGTATCACGCACTGTCAACCCTGGGAAAGTAGCATTGATATATGACCGCCATCTGACCCTCAGAGCCCCGCTTGACACAAAGGTACACTTCATAGCCACGGGATCCGAGTGAGAATCATATACTGCTTTGGTCTCATCTCTTAAGACTCCTTCAAACTGGGTGTGGCCGCACACGCCCCTAATCCCAGCACTCAGAGGCTGAGGCAGGAGTGCCACCAGTTCAAGACCAACCTGGACTACACAGTGAGATACTATCTCAAAAAAAACCAACCAACCAACCAACCAACCAAAATGATCTTTTTCAGAAAATAACAAACCAATGATCAAACCACCCAACTGCAGAAGTGACTACTACCGCACAACAGCCAGCGTGGAAACACCAACCTGCTCCATTCTTTTCATTTTTGGCTGCAGCACTTGTCCGTTTTGGGGTACGCTTTTGTTTTTTTGCCATTAATCCACCATTTCCATCACTTGGCCTTTTCTGACCTGAAATAAGGGGAGAGAGAATTTAACGGAAAAGGAAAGAAAGAAAACAAAAAAAGAGCAGCGGTTTATTTCCTTGTCTGTTCCACACTGATCACTACACACACGGTAAAATGAAAGACAGTGCTTAAAACTCTAAGCATCGAGGTGTGGTTTTAACAAAAGGCAACGCCTCTCCCGGCAAGGCTCACCCTTCTCTCTGCTCTCTCTCTCCTGTGCGAGGAAACTGCAGGCAGCGGGGCCTGCGCCGGCCTCCAAGCTGCCGGCCGCGGGCCCCTCGGGGGACTCCTCGGCCGTGC